TAAAACTTAATAAAAGACCTATACAGACATAATAAATTCAGACATAATTTAACTAACATTAAAATAAATAACAAATACAAATCAAACGACAGTAGTTTATCAGTACACACCAAACACACATGCTAAAAAACAACAGCTTACTTACACATAGTAAGAAATGGTTATAAAAACTGAAACAGAAGTGAACCAAGTAGTAGGAAAGAGGAGAAATAAAAAGCGATACTTATCCTTTGCCGGTGTCCTGCCCAATGGAGTCGCACGGTAGAGTCGATGGTCTTTACACTCTTCGGTCTTCACACGAGGAGGCCGTCACACGACGGTAAACTAAGCTTTTTTTATACCCGTCTAACAAAATACTAAATTAATTCAGCTGGACACACTTTCCTTATTTTTTCCACAACAAATGGCCAAGCAAGTGCAGACACTGACAAGATATGCGATACAGAACGAGACCCTACCAGGTAACTACCACATTCAAGGCCCAGAAAGGTAGTAAGGACATCGTTAAAATAATCCATGTGACATCAGTGGTTCAACCTGAACTTCTACCTTTCTGGGCCTTGAACATGGTAGTTGCATTGCTGTCTATGCAGGGTCAGAAAGCTCTCGGATTTCATCAAAAATATCTTAATTTGTGTTCCGAAGATTAACAAAGGTTTTTAGCTAATGAAGTCTTTAATTTCAGAAGTCATGCATGTTTGGAATGACATGAAGGTCAATAAATAGCAGAATTTTAATTTTGAGATTGACTGTTCCTTTAAGAGTGTCTCTTCACTAGACTGGGTTTCAGACAGCGGAGATGGGTCAGGCTAGTACTCATGGGTCATGATATGAGGTCATGTGGATTAGGGAGGACACTTGGTTGTGTCATTATCTGGCTGGAGATCTCATTAGATGGGTGTAGACTTCATGCAGAAAGTCAAGCGAGAGCTTCATATATGAGACACACCAGTCTGAAATGAACAAGTTTTACTATGATGTGTATTACAGAAAAGCATCCCAATCTGACACATTTTAGTTGTTCCAGTTGTTCCTATTGCAACATAGCATTTAGATTGAAGCTTATCAAAAATGGGGTTTTCCAGCTTTTCTGCTTATCTATTCCAGAGTGAATCAGTGTCTTATTTCTCTCAGAGATGAATAAGATGACAGAGATTCAGAAATGAGCCGGGGGGAGCAGGAAGAAGCGTTAGCCACACTTCCTGTTCCTTGCAAAAACACTGTCAACCCAAAACAATCCCTTTCTTCAGACACTGAAGCGGGAGGATGCACTCACAGCCATCACCCTTTCACCCACTAAAAACACCATATGTCACTTAGTTCGGAAGAAGAGGGGGAGCTTTAAGGGGCAAAACTGAATCAGAAAGTGATGGGTCTATTCATGATATCTTAAGCATGCTTGTGCCACTAAGAAGGTGAAGCTCACTCCAAGAGTAAAGTCGGCAGATTTGCCGTCTCGCTTTAAGCTTTTAAATGAAGTCTTATAGTATTTCTTTTCTCAAGATTGTCTCGCGGGCATACAGGGATTGTGATGGGTTTGAAGATTGAGGTTTGTCAGAAATGCATATGTTTATTAGAAGGTACTGACGACCAACATTCTTCAGCTTCCAATCCAAAGCACTTTCATGTCAATTAAACATTAAGAGAGAGGTTTATATCGCACCACATCAGGATACTTGTTATCAGATGTCTGTTTTCTTTTTTGTTTATCCATCTGTACACTTTACATAAATAACTTACAGACAACACAACCAACAACCATCATTTTTTAAGATCCTATACCATTGAAGGATATTAGTCACGAGGGTCTTCCAGGAGAAACAGTCAAGCTCTCTACAATAATTACAGTTATATAGATACTTGTTATCAGATGTCTGTTTTCTTTTTTGTTTATCCATCTGTACACTTTACATAAATAACTTACAAACAACACAACCAACAACCATCATTTTTTAAGATCCTATACCATTGAAATACCATGTATTTTGACATATACCATGTTGTACCATGGTATGCCTTGGAGTACCATGTATTTTGTAAAAAAAAAAAAAAGAGGTTCAGCAGTCGCAAATTTAACATATTTCTGTTTTGACTATATTTTTGAATAAACATTTTTTAATGCAGCCTTAGTATGCATAAAAGACATTCAAAATTCAAAACTTCAAAAAAAATCTAGCAACCCCAAACTTTTTTTAACTGTAGTGTATTTCACAAGTTTTCTATTATGATCATAGGAAGGATGGAGAAAAAACAAATCCATGCCCAGGAGTAAAGTTGTGTTCCAGCTAAGTGGCATGACTGTTACTATCTACCACAGCATCAGTATACACGTGTTAGAAACATACTTACAGTCGCTGATTCAGGAGCGCCAGATTGTCATAGCAAAGTCGGAATTGACCCTTTTTTTATTTTTTAGAAATAGACTTTGTGCACAGCCAGCCTTGTACTCTTCTAGGTTCAAAATACTGTTGTCCATAAAATGCGTTGCACAAATTCGAACATCTGGGTTGTGCTGTTCTGTTGTAAATAAATCTTAACCAATGATTCCTAATTGCATCTACTTCCGAAAGGCCAAATAAAGTGCTTTTGCTTTCGCACTGAATCACACAGCGTCTCACTGACATGGTTGCATCAACATGACTGCTGTTCCTGAAACCACGCCTTCTTTATTTGCATGCACATTTGAGTGCCATTATGCTAATATTTCCACATAGTGACGTAGACATGTGGGGGCGTGTTAGAATGAGCCGTTTTAGGAGGGCGTGAAACAAAGTCCACTTCAAAAGGAGATATTTTATTTAACAGAAATCACTTTTCAAAAACTACAACGAACGACTCGTTTGGACTACAACGCATATTTCCCGGGATTTGTGATATCACAAATATCGACGAATGAGACGAGACCTGGTTGAGCTGCACTCGAGAAGGCAACGGGTGTTATCACTATGTCAGAGACACGCTAGCTTTCCCAAGGCAGACGAACTTAGAGTGGTTACAATCATCCTGGTTTAAATCGCGCTCAAATTGATTTGATTTTGACACAATATTTACACTGAAGCTCGCAGGCAGCTATGGTAAGGAGAATTACATTTCCCGACCAGGCGCAGAGTGCTGCCAATCACAACACACACTGGCCCAGCTAACCAATCAGCACATTTCGTATTTCAGAAGGCGGGCCTTCATTTGATACAGGAACTATTCGTGCCGTTCATGCCAGACTGGGGAGAGAGGTGTTGTAATAATGTAAAATATGTGAAAAATAAAGTGTTTTTCGAACAACCTAGTATGAGAGCCTGTTCTAGTACACCCCCAAAACTAAATCAAGACTTTTTAAAAGAGCATAATAGGACCCCTTTAAATGAAGATACAGTATTGTACATGAAAATTAATTAAACAGTTAATTTTAACATTTAGCATTAAACATTTTCCATTGTTTGTTGAAGTGAAATCCAGTCATTTCAATAGGAATCCACTCAATCCGGAATTTTGCACGAGGGGAAAGATTTCCCCACACAGATTTCACAAGGTTCTTCAAGTTGGTTACTCAGATTCACAGCGTTGACCAACAGAAAGCTGTTTGGTTTGAAAGTTACTTCTGTGTGAGCTGTGCTTCATACATCGCTATGTTGTTGACAGTAGACAATATACCTTTTTTGTTCACGAAAATTTCACTAATGTGACTTCAGCTTGAGATCACAACCAATCTTCAATACTTGTATGAGAGATTGTTTCTCATCAGATGTTTGTCAGTTTAGGTATGTTGCACACGTAAGATATGTCACCTTCAAAATCTGTCATTGCTACGAGGTGAAATACTTCTGTGACTGCATATAAACTAGCTTCCAAAAATAACCAATCCATGAAGTGATAATGCTCAGCAAAAACTGTCTTTGGTTCGTAACTTTTTCTTTTATCTGTGTGTGATTGCAGTCTCGCAGTGTAGACAAGCAGCACGCTGTCATCAACTATGAGTCCAGCAGTGATGAGCACAAAGTGAAGGATCTGGGAAGCCTGAATGGGGTGAGTAAGAGGGAAAATAATGGAGTGGTGCATTTCTGATAAATGAATGGCACTAATTTTAAAACAACAATTTCTAAAGAAAATTGTACATAAAACACAATATCTATATTTTTGCAAACAGTGCATTTATACTGCTTATTTATAACAATAATAAATTATACATTGTAAGTTAAGTTTTACCAGTGACCAGGTCACCATTTTTCTACATAATAGTCTTTCTACATTACATGTCACTTGTATCACTTTACAGTCTTTCTTACATATTAAAATAATTCCCATTCAAATCAATCATGTCCATTTTCTTATTTAGTCTGTTAGTGTGTAATATGCAAGATAATGTATAGTCAGCCAGTCATTACTGTAAAAAAACAAAGGCTATGTTCTTTAACATTTGATTTTTTTCATTTCTATTTTATGTATATTCAGCCTCTGATTGATTCTTGACAGGTTAATTTGCCCTTGTTCATTTTAAATGCAAACTGCCCTCTTCCTACTTGGTTAATTTACGATGTGGTAATTCTAAACCTTACATTAGTGATATATTGAGGTGCAGCCTGCTTTTCCTGAGTCTGTACTCTGTATCATGTGTTTGTGTTAGATTATGTTGGTCTGTTTTTGGTCAGTAGAAACTCTTATGACTAAATGAACTCATGGGGCTGCTCACACAAATTACAACCTCTTCCTGTTGAGTCATTCATTCCTCTTCCTGTCGTGCTTTAGCAGGAAATTGCTATTATAGCATGTGCAGCATATTATCCACTTTTTTTGTTTTTTTTTGCAGTTTCAGTGCCGTTTACACTTGACCAGGAATCAGTTTTGAGCAAAACTCCACACAACAAGTTCAGACATTGTATGAAACTACCGTATTCCTGTAGTTAAAGTTGGCACATGTTGAATAAAGGGAAATAAATTGCAGTCAGCTGTGACCCCACATTCCAGCACAATATCTTAAGGTCTTTGGAAATTGTAGTAAGGACAGAGGAGATTGATTCAGCTTTTCAAGGGAAATTTTAAACTTGAATGCTCTAGAAAGTGCTTTGTCAGTACGATTTGCTCCCCTTCTTTGTAGGGCTTTGCAAGGAAGTGGCTGATATTTGAGACAGAGCAGACCTTACAGCACATTATTATCACCCTCAATGTTTTCAGACTTTGTGATGTGGCTCTCCCTGTAGTGATGTGTTTAGAGGGATCTGTAAACCATTTGTGCACTGAACTTTTGAAGTTGAACTCGATAAACATGGAAATGTCTTGCTCCCTTAATTAATGGCAGGCTAATGGAGTGTAGTGTGTGTATGGTGCTCTTTAGGTATAGGTACAGTCTGATGGAGATTATCAGATCAAGGAGATTTTGAGATTAAACAATAAGCATGTTGTTATAACTCAATTTCTTAAGATTTTTAAGTGGATTTTTAAAAAAGCCCAGATTTAAGGGATTGACTTGTTGATCTGTCTAATCTTTTGATACTTCAGGAAAGTAAAGCCTTTTTGTTTTGTGGGTTGTTTTTATTATTATTATTATTATTATTATTATTATTGGGGGTTCAAGCACATAGCACTGAAACCCTATTGTAATTGTTAGAATGGCCAAGGATCAGCAATCTCCACATAAAACTGATCGTAAGTCATAGAGACTTAAAACTTGGAGGGATGGTAGTACTCACACAGTTTACAACGTCATCAAGGCTCGCCCCAATCGGCCTGACAGGGGCGCTACAGTGATCAAAAGTACAAAATTGCTCATAACTCCTAAACCGTTAGTCACAAGCTCAAGTGCCTTTGGATTTCTTGGCTCATGAGAGACAAAAAGCATGCCGATCAAAACGACAAAACTGATTCGATTCGTCACCTGAAATTTTAGGGTATTTTGAATTTTTTGAATAACCTACTTTTGCGAACTAGTCCTAGGTTTTTGCCCAATCGGAACCAAACCAGTGCAGAAAGATTCTCTGGAGAGTGAATATCAAAAATGATCAAAAACAAAGTTGAACATTCGACTCACCGTCGCAAAGGGATGCCAAAACGTTTGAAAGGGGCAGGGCCGCTTTTACTAAAACAGCTATAACTTTTGAACGGAATGAGATATCTTCGCCAAACTCAAAACACTCATGTAGGAGCTCAATCTGAGCTTAGCCACTTGGTGACGCTATAAGAGGGAAACAACGAATGACTAAAGAATGGCTGTAACTACACAACCATTTTTCCAATCAACATGAAAATTGTTACGCAGTGTCATTGTCCCAATGAAACTCATTGGGCCTGTTTGATTCATGGCCCTAAAGGTCTGTGAGAAATTTGAAAGAAATCTCCCACTGGGGGTCGATATCGCAGAACCACTGCTCTAGAACCACTGCTGCCAATCAAATGTCCTAAAGCGCTTGAACCCCGATAATCACTGCTTGCATATTTTTTTTATTCTCTGAAGACATTTCAAACTTTGTTGTTCTTGTATTAAATACTAGGGATGGGCATTCCAAGCAAAAATAATATTCGAAAATCGCTGGGTATTATTCGATTATTATTTGAAAATCGCACCCCTCCCCTGCATGCACGCACAAACACCCATAAACAGAGAGAGACGGGATTTACGCTTTCAATCTGTATGATAAACTGTTTAATTCAGAAGATAGGCTACCTTAACTCAAGCCATATAATGATTGTAACGTGCTGAAACATATTAATATAATAAACATAACCAAATGATGGCACTTAGTAACATAACAGTCCATCGATTAGCATAAATCAACTGCTCATAAGGCTAGGCCATTTTCATTTTAAAAAATGGAACCCCTAAAGGTAATAGATACGAGATGGGAGGAAAAATATACTTCAGTATATTCTGTCTCAATTATATCGTTGGGTAATTATACTGTATATAAACTGCGGGCATCAGGGAGCCGTTATTAATATGCGGGGCATTGAAATCACTTATGAACGCGACCTTGTTTTTTACTTTCACTTTCGAGATTCACAATCACACTTATGGAGCAGCACTCGGCAGTACTTACCACACATTTGACAAGATTAGATGTTTGTCAGTGGTGCTCAGGATCTGCAAATCATTCGCCATCATCCTATCAGTCATCTCTCCTTACTCTGTGTATGTGGTAAGTGAACTTTCGTGTACTGTAATGTAACAGGCTACCGCAAGCAAGCGGCTAACCATGTCCCTTTAGTGGCTCTGTAGAACGTGTTATTTGTTTTCCGCGCCTTTCTGAATACGTATTCAGCCACACCTCTAACCCAGTCGGGGGTGTTTGTGGTCTGCACAGAGCTCTTATGTGACATCGTCCCAAGTTACTGTAGCCATTATATGCTACGCAAGTCTTTTTTAATGCCACGCAAGTCTACAGTGTGCGTGGGAGACAGTGTGTTCTTCAATTGTCTTTGACAGCTTTTAGGTGCGTTATTAGCAGCGCCATCCTCTGCTTACATGAACGTGTCACCACCGCATCAGCATGGAAAACATGAGGACATTTTTAAAGACAATAATCGCACAACCTATTCGATATTATTTAATTAAACCAACTAATCGAATATTCGAAAATCGTGACCCATCACTATTAAATACCTCATGAAATCAAATTTAGTGGTTTTGTGGCTTTTAGTTAATGCGTCTCTTATGCTAGCTATGCTAGAATTAAAATGTACAATCTTGTCTAACCAAATACTCTCGAAAATATCCCTCTGTCTATTTCAGTCTACCTCTGACTGGCAAATAGCAAATCATCTTTCAAGACTGTAACTAATTAGCTCTTGGTTATTTTTTTAAAAAAGGGGAATGATGAACTTGAATTTGTCAAGTTAATTTACAGGGTCAAGTTCTGTATATAAAACAGTAATTACATATCCATCATCCATTCCACAAAACACTTGACCTATGTAAGGTACAGTACATATGGTGAACTAGAAATTAACTTCTTTGTCTGTGATTTTAAATGTATATTTTAACATTTTAGGGACATATTTGGACCAGTATAAGTTGAGTCCACTAAAATGTGAATTTAATTGGACTTTTTTTATTTTCAGACATTTGTGAATGATGTCAGAATCCAGGAACAGATGTACATCACTTTAAAGATTGATGACAAACTGCGGTTTGGATATGATATCCTTGAATGATTTACTGTTAATTTAGTATTTCAAAGTCCTTATGTGTATCTGTATGTGATTTGTTGGAATTTAATTTATTTACACTCATAATTTTGGAAGATTTAAGTGTATGTGCATGACAAAGAAAGTAGAAGTACATCTAGAATTATATGGTTTCATATTTTGAGCCCTTTGTGTGAAACATTCAATATGTTTTAGTTGTTTCTGAGACTGTCTTCCTTAACCTGACTCACATACCAACCTGTTCACTGTGGTGCGAGGAGAGCTACATGTGCCAGAGGAGGCTCTGAAGGTAAAACAACTGCTACGTCTCTGAATTAATATAGTTAACAATATACTGGTTCATCAAGATGTTTGCGCTTATATTATCAGAATTGCACATGCAGATCTTATGTATGTATTTATTATTTTTTTTAATCTTCCTGATGTAATGCTTGATGACAGGTTTCTGGCTCTTACTGTGTTCTTCTCCCTCCTTTCTGTCAGCATGAGAAGTTCACCAGCCAACTTCAACTGGGCAAGAAGCCCACCTGCGCAGAGCCCTTAAAACCCCCCAAGTCTTCTCCAGACAAAGCCAAAGTGAGCAAACCCGCAGAGCCCATTGCTGAACCAGCAGTCAAACCTGCAGAGCCTAACAAAGGAGATGACAAGATGCCAGGTAAAAACCACCTTGATGATGTGAGCAGAAGTTATGCATAAATGTATTTGTGACTGAAGATTTCAAACCACTTTGTAGATGATGCAAAACAATGTGTTATCTTTAAATAATGTGAGTATGTAAAGATATATTATAAAACGGATTGTTTTGGTCCTTAATTATGATTGACTGAGCTGTGTTCATGCTGTTGTAAAATACTCAATAAACACACGTGAACTCGTTACATCAGGAGGGACCACTGTGTCTGCTAAACCTTGCTGAAGGACTACATTGATTGGTGGAATAATTAGCGTTTGTTATCAATGCATTATTACATTTTTGTTGCTGTGTGTTTTTTAATCAAACCTTACCAGGTTTATGTTATAATATGTAACGCCATGCCTAACAACGCCCCTTATTAGCTGTTCTAAAATCACTGTAAACCACAGCTTCTTGGGACTTATTGATTAATTTGAGACTTTAACGCATCTAAACACACGCCCATGCCTCTGTTTTCCACCCATCAGCGTGTCAAGGGTGGGTAGCGTTTAACATTCACTCTTATCTCACTGCCCTTGGTTATTTCATCCTGCTAATTGTCAGGCTTGTCCAAAATTCCCCTGGCCCCCGGCTGGTAAAGTTACGTGACGCATCTGTGTGCAGCAAATGAAGAAACTACTGATTTCTGTAGAGAATCAAACCAACTGCGTCACTGGAATAACTGAATCAGTATTATGAACATCGAAAGCATTCCCCCAAAATTTACTTGAATTAGGACTGTACAAACGGCAAATATTTTAAAAAGGCTTATCATGTATACAGTAAGCCCTGTTAGTTTCTGCTCAATTAAATTAAGATTTAATTCTCGGCTGCAGGCTGAAATCCTTTGTCAACTGCATCATGTATATAGATAAGTCTGATAGTCTGTTAAAGGGATAGTTCACCCCAAAATAAAAGCTGTATGTTGTTCCTTTAAATTCAGAGAGGAAACAGCACATAATATCAGAGGAAAGGACAGTAAAATACATACATAGCTACTAGGGATGCCTATACCGATACCGATACTGAGCTCTTGTACTCGTACTCGTACTCGTACTCGTTAAAATGCCCCGATACCAAACACCGATACCACACAACATGTGATCAGTGCCATATTCAGACAAAGAAGCAGACAACAGAACAACAGACAGCAGAATGGAGTTATTAGAGATTAAGGATGTCTACGAAGTATATGTATGCAATGCATATAATGTTAAACTTTCAGTATTAATGTCTGTACAGCTGATGTGCGCGAGCTGATAAACAAAGCACGCAGAGTGGGTTGAGTGTGCAGCAGCGCAGATGCGCGAGGTTGTCAAGTGAATATACCTTTCTCACAGACATCACTGGAAAGTTTGTAGTTCAGTCGGATACGACAAGTAAAACAATGCACAAGTTACTTAACGGTAGGGAGAGAGAGAGAGAGCGCACGCACTTCTGTTGTGTGATCTGATCTTTGATGTTTGCTCACTTAGCACACGCATCATTTGGATTAAAACTAAATCGTAAAAATAAGACCATTTATAGGGGCTATAAATTCACTATATTCACTATAAATGTCATTTATTTTTAACCTTAGGCATACACGACTTTCTGGCGAAAGTGAATCTAGCAGCCTGTGTGAAATGCGCTGTACTACTTGTCCCTCTCATTCCCACCAGTACAAATATGTGCACGCGCTGCGCGTGTTTTGCTTGCTTGAGTGTTTCTGCATTATATGAGTGGCTTTGGAATATAAATCGCAGCACGCTTCAGATGAAAAAACGCGACTTCTCTTTCTGAAAATATCAGTTAGGAGATTTATTGCGAGTGGTTCCCTGCATTATTACAGCAAAGCGTGTGATTACAGTACTGAGCCGCTGCAATGGAGCAGCTCTAATGCTATTAAATTAAAGATGATGTACCATAGAGCAAAAAATGAACAGTGAAAGTAACTAAAACTTGTAAAATACATTTTAATGGGCATAATTAAGTGTGAAAATAACCAAAGGATATACAGTCAAACCAAAAATTATTCAGAGACCAGATATAATTTTTGATATTTTTTTACTAGTGGGTGCAGGACACTATAGTTCATTTATGTAAGTGAGGATAGCAAAATAAAGTAAATTGTGACAAATTATACCCAAAATTTCTTCATACAGTGGACTACCAGTAAAACTGATACAAATTTGGGACCAAAAATTATTCAGAAAAGTTTTTTTCCAGAAAAGTCTGGGAAAAGTTCTTGTTATATTTTATTACCATTTTCTAAACTATAGCGAATAAACTGTGATAATGTGAGAAGTGTTGAAGGTGTCTGAATACATTTTGGCTTGACTGTATCTATTTGATAAATGAAGTTAACCAACTAACATTATACATACTCTTTTGGTTTCTGTACCCAATATTTTTTAATTTTACAAATGCAATAAAATATTGGTATCGGCAAGTACCAAAAATAAAAGTATCGGTATCGGGCGAGTACTGGAAAAAGTGGTATCGGTGCATCCCTAATAGCTACATATAGTGTTTACACCTCATGTACATAAACTCTCATGTTCTCAATAGCAAAGTAATTTTTAAAAATTCTATAACAGGTGATATAGCTGCCTTGCACAGGGGAACCCCACTGTATGGACAGCCATCTTGGTGGGGCGATGGGGATGCAGATGATGAGAATTCCTTTAAACAAGAGAATAAAACATCTGGAAAGAAGCAGGAGAACAGCGGGACAGGTAAGATATCCCAGAATCCTTTTAAACACTCTACTTACACAAAAGTCCTTAATTAAAAGCTAAATTAAATAATTAATTAAAAGCAAAAGTGCTTACACAAACTGCTTAATTATACAGTCACAGGGAGATTCTTATCAACACATTTTGAGCAGATCTGCACCAGATAGAGGACAGTTATGAAGAGAATGAAAAGTTTGAATTGTTTGCTGTTTAATCCAGACAAAAACTGTGTGAAATTTGCTTCTGATTGAAGCTGGCATGTTCAGTGTACTTTGATCTAGCGGTCTGGAATCCCATTAACTTGCTCCGTATATGAGTAATGGGATTGTAGATTATCGAGGCTTTGCCACAGCAGGACATCACACATTTGCTACAGACACTAAACCAGACAAGTGTACTCAAAATAGTCTTTTGATACAGCAAGAAAAACATATTGTGATGTGATTTTTGTCATATTTAGACCAACTAAATACCAGTTTGCTTTTTGTGAAGTTAGACTATCAGACATAAATCATGTAATTCAATTCAAATATTCTATTTTGTGTTGGGTCATCTATATTTGAACAGAGATTGAACACATTTTGAGCAGATCTGCACCAGATAGAGGACAGTTATGAAGAGAATGAAAAGTTTGAATTGTTTGCTGTTTAATCCAGACAAAAACTGTGTGAAATTTGCTTCTGATTGAAGCTGGCATGTTCAGTGTACTTTGATCTAGCGGTCTGGAATCCCATTAACTTGCTCCGTATATGAGTAATGGGATTGTAGATTATCGAGGCTTTGCCACAGCAGGACATCACACATTTGCTACAGACACTAAACCAGACAAGGGTACTCAAAATAGTCTTTTGCTACAGCAAGAAAAACATATTGTGATGTGATTTTTGTCATATTTAGACCAACTAAATACAGTTTGCTTTTTGTGAAGTTAGACTATCAGACATAAATCATGTAATTCAATTCAAATATTCTATTTTGTGTTGGGTCATCTATATTTGAACAGAGATTTTACGCACTGTAACCCACTGTAGCTTGATTATAACTGCACATGTAAACATACTGAATAAATGCTACATTTCTGAATTATGAACATGTATATGTATATAACAACAGCTATTAAGACAAAAATAACTATAAACATGAGGCTTTTAGGTTTCTTTCTTTATAATATGTGCCACTTTTAATGTTGACTCCAGAATAGAGCATCAAAGCCCAGAGATCTTGCTCGTGCCCTTGAGCCCTCTTAATTTAATTCACTCGAAACAGCACTGTCTCTATTCAGAGAAGCAAAATCTGCGCCCAGAAGAAGCCTTGTTTCTTTCTGAGGGAATGTTGGATAAATATATCTCTGAGGGGTACTGAGTGGCATTGTTTGACAAGACCTTACAGCGTTATTCAGAAAAAGAGTACAGACTCAGGTTCAGAAGACGGCGGAGTTGGCAGTAGCTCGAAATGAATCAGCATTATTTGTTTCAGGCTTGATAAACCTCAGCGCTGCCACAGAGTGAGAGAGAATCAGTCATGCGACAGTCCACCACATCAAAGTGCCAATACCTCCCAAGGCTATTTTAGGCAGCAGTCAAGGCTGGTTTTTCGATGGCAGGGACTCACAGGCCAGCATAGGAAAGAAAGGGGAAGAGAATGTAAAGGGAGCCGTCTCCCTTAAGAAGTGAATAGGTTGATTTGTAGACAGGCCCAGCCCCCTCCATCTCCATTGTGAGTGCCACAGAGGCGTGTTTGCTTTCTCTTCTGTGACACCAGTGCCGCTCATCACAGAGACAGCCACACATGCTAGATTTGTAAGTATTTTCAGTATTTAAGTTTTTGTATTTTATTAAACATAGTTAGTCTAATGTTAACTTTTTAGTAGAGGTGCAGTTTTACATACAAGGCCTTGTGCCTCACATGAACTTACTTGAGATGTATTGTCAAAAGTTCTGCTAAGCAGATGTGATATCTGTTTAGTGGTAAAAAAACAAAAAACAAAAAGAGTTAAGTGGAATTCTAATAGTAGTTAGTGCTTTTCTGTCGTATTTTGCTGCTGATGGTTAATGATCTTTTAAGTCCGTCTTATAAGTATCTCTTAATATAATAGCTTAAAAGAGGAAGTGCAAAAGGGTTTTTAAAAATAGGAAGTTTCAGCTGCGCTCTGATAGGTTGTGTTGTGCAGGGGATTAACTAGACATGACTTTTGGTACATTAAATTTACTGGAGTAATTGTGGAAGTGTAAGTAGAACTTGGTCTGATTCAGATGCATTACTGATGATGTCACGATGACATCATATTTGGAAAATGTTGCTGTGCCTGTAAATGGCACGTGCACCTGTTGCTAACAATAGAGAAAGCACTAAATTACTAATATTTATTTAAATTAAGGTTTGAAGTCACGCCTCAATGAAATGAATGAAATGTTGTGCTATAAATATAGTTAATCAGTTTAAGTGGAGAATCTAAATCAGTGGTTCTCAAACTTTTTGCTCCGTGACTCATTTTTAGGTTGCAAAATTCTTACACGCCCTCTCTACCCACATTACGGGATTAACATACTATTTAGTACATTTCATTATTAATTCTTTTCTTTTTTTTCAGTGTATACATTAATGCCGTGTTTATGAGACGTTTGTTTGGTCTTAATATAGACAAAAGCACTAAATCCTGTGCTGCAGAAATAAGTGCAAGCAGACAGTAACTGCAGTTTAAGGGTGTTCAGTTAGTGTCATTTCTGTGTGTTTACCTTTGTAGCTACGCCACCATTCTACCATTTTTCAAAAGAAATCATTTAATTTGAATTCAAATGAGTCAAAAGTTACTTTTAAACGATAATATGTATTTAATATTTTTACATGTTAATATTTTAATCAAAAGCTTTATATATATGTATAGCTTATGTCATTTCTGCTTATTCCAACTAATAGAATGAAAACTGGTAATTCAGGGTGGCATTAGTCAGACAGTTTGTTATTTCCAAAATTTAGCATCATGTCTGGGGTGTCAGAGCATCTGTCCTTAGCCCATTAAGTTGTTAAGGTGCCATTAGCCATCCCATTAATTCTTGTCATGTGACAGATATTAAACAGTGGCTTTGTCCTGACAATGATTTAAGTCCACAGTCTTGATTTATAGCAAGCTGATCTGATTCTGTTGATTTTGTGGCGGCGACCCTTAACTCATAAATGGGGATCCTTATTCTTCTTCTTTTTTTGTGGCCCCACAGAGAGCAAAGAGAACAAGCGAGGTGATAAATCAAAGGAAAATGGTCTGGGGCCTGTAGGCGCTGAGCCCAGCTACTTTGAGATTCCCAGCAAGGAGGGACAAATGGCACAGAACAGCATCCATGAGATCCCAACAAAGGACACTGAGGGCACTGGGGCTGCTAAATCAGCCACGGGCAATGCTGGCGCACAGGCCAACACCTCATTCACCATTGAGTTTGATGATACTTCCCCAGGCAAGGTCACCATTAAAGATCATGTGTTGCGTCCACGACCTAAAAAATCACCTCACATTGGCGGTAAAGACCTCAGCACCCTGCAGGCAGCCATCATGGCCTCTGAGAGCAAGGTGGCTGACTGGCTTGCCCAGAATGACCCTCCTCTTGTGAGGCGTGAGTTCAAAGAAGAGGACAGTAAGAGCATCAAGAGTGATGTGCCTATTCACCTCAAGAGGCTTAAAGGTACGCCATTACACATACATTTATTCATTACGCAAGTGCTTTTATGAAAGTAACTTATTAAATGAGAATAATACAAGGAGAAGCAATAAAACCAAGGGAGAATACAATACATGTAGTGCTACCATAGCAAATTTGCTAATTTTATAGCAAATTCAGCTAGAGCTGAAGTGTAAGTGCAAAAAAGTTAGTTTGTTCCTGGTTTAAAGGAACAGTGCACCTAAAAGTTAAAATTACATAAATATTTTTTGCCCTTGTGTCATTTCAAACACATATTTTTCTGTGGAACACAAAAGTATAATTTTTTGATGAAACAAAGCAGTAGTTCATAATGACCAAGGGCTGTCAATGTCCAAAATAAGGAGCAAGAAATGAAAAAAAATCTGTGTAACACCCCTGTGGACTGTTTGTTGTGGTTTCTTCCCCTGTTGTTGGTTTAGCCCGTTCAATTATTAATTAATCACCTCATTGTGCTCACTTGTCTGACCCTCGTTAACTGCCCTATATCTGTTCCTGTGTTCTAGTTTGTCGGTTATTGTGAATGTTACCCCGTGTGTGTGTGTGTGTGTGTGTGTGTGTGTGTGTGTGCGTGCGTGCGTGCGTGCGTGCGTGCGCGTGCGCGTGCGCGTGTGGTCGGTCGCTACATTAAATATCCGTCTTTTGAATCCTCGTCATCATCAACACACCTGGACCGTGACAATCTGAAAGTCTCTTGAAGATCTGTAATAAATTTTAGTCTGGTGCTCAAACAAAGCTAAGACATTATTCTTTGCTACCCCACATTTCTGTCCAGAAATTAAGAATGGTGCATTTTGGCAACAGTGACACTCATTTTTATATCTGAACATTCATTGACATAGGCCTTTATCTGTGAACTGTCTGTTTCTCACATAAAACTATCTATTGGCATCAGAAGTCTTGGAATACAGTGTGACAGTGTTAAAGGGGTCATATGATGCGATTAAAATGTTTCCTTTCTCTTTGGAGTGTTACAAGCTCTTGGTGCATAAAGAAGATCTGTAAAGTTGCAAAGACTAAAGTCTCAAATCCAAAGAGATATTCTTTATAAAAGTTAAGAGTCAACCACGCCTACCTAAAATGCCTCGTTCTAACACGCCCCCACTTGTCTACGATGTGGGAAGATTTGCATAACGCCGCACAAATGTTCACGCAAAGAAAGAAGGCTGTAACTTTTATTCTCGCTGTTGCCGCCGCCGCCATGTTGTGGAGATGCTGTGTGTTTCGTTGTGAAAGCAAAACTACTTTGTTTGGTCACAACTAGAAATCAAAGAGGACACAACTAGAAATCAGTGGTTAAGTTGTATTTACAACACTGTTCCAGAACACTTCAACCCAAATATTCAGATGTGTGATGCACATTTTGCGGAGGTTGAGGACTGTTTCCTGTGAGAGTAGCCTACAATGCCGGTGTCTGTTTCTATAAAGTGGGGCAGTTCCAACTTTGCAAGGACAGTCTGGCGCTTCTGACTC